GGTTAAAATCAGCCTGAATCAAACAATATTTTCCTTCCAGGCCCCTAGTCTGGCCATAAACAATGTCTGATCCAAAGGCTGGAACTGGACAGAACAGGCTATTCTAATCCTTTACGATGACCCTGTCAACAGCTTCTTCAGAAAGAATCCTCATTGCAACTGACCCATTAAATAGTATCAGTCATTTTCTCCACAACATTCCTATGTTTAGAGCTGCAAAGGAGGTTAGAATAATTTAGAATAAAATCCTCAAGTTACTGATGAGGAAGTAGGTCCAGAGAAATTAAGTGACTTGCCCAAGGTCACTCAGCTGCTGAAGGGTACAGGCTGTGTTGGAGCCCAAGATCTCTGGCGCCCAAGAACTGCTTTTTCCATTGCATCATTTAAGATAGCACAAAACTATTTTCCTGGAATTCTGATAAACTAAAAAGAAAAAAAGAAACCAAAACGGTGGCATGCCCTTTTGGATCCCAAGTCCCTTCCTGCAAGGCAATGCTGGGATAGTATTTATTGAGGGGGAACTCAGAGAAATAACTACAATATATGTAACATTTTGTGGATTTGTTTTTTTAATATAAAAAGCTACCTAAACAATTGTAAACATTAAGCAAAATATTAGATGCTCAAACTTTTCTGGAACAACAGAGAAACTCTCTCCAACTGCTCAGTAGCAGTTTTGGGGCACAGCATTTGCACCTGCTTGGTAAGTTTCCACCTGCGATGTTGCATTTGGCCCTTCAGAAAAAGCGCTGCCCTGCGGTCTTATGATTCAGTGATACAAGAAGGATGCTAGCTGGTCAGAAATGCTTATTTAAGCGGGAAGGAGGAGGAGAAAATAATCCCATAGCACTTCTCTTCCTTATTTTCCTTATTTTAGAAAGGCCAAATCTGAACACATTTTCCATCCCATGCAGTAACATATCTCACATAATTTTGGTTACTGGAGGGTGCACAAAACGAATCTAACAAGCTTTCAAAATCGATGTACCCAGCCTGACTCGACGGGCTGCCACTGAGACTGTCAATGGTGGACAAATGAATCTGTGTCTGAGAAGGCGACCGCATTTCCTCCAAGCCTTTAGGGAACACAGTACCCAAACCCTCGTCACACGGGGGTCTCAGGATCTGCAAGCAGATCATTTCTCTGTTAACTCCCTTACAGCCCAGGAGGCTGCGTCTTCCTGGCTCTTACCTAGCTCAGGCGCTTTACTAGTGTATGGAGCCCAGGGCGCTTCGGAGCCAAAGGATTTTCCCCTCCCCCGATGACCCAAAACGACCGCAGCGGCAGCGCTCGCACGTCCCTCTCCCTCCCTCGGTGGTGGGGGCCCACCCCACCCGGCCCGCAGCCACGTGCGGGGCTCCCTCCTGCTCGCGGATCTCGAGACAGGAAGACGAAGGAACGCCGCCTCGTAGTAAACCATAGTAAAGAGAGGAGGGAAACAAAATGGGGCTCCTCACATGGTCTGGCCTGGATTTTTCTCAATTAAAAATAAGAGGAAGTGTGTGTTTCCGGCCCCCGTCCGTGGACTGGTTGGACTTTTTCATTCTTAGGATTCTGCTCCAAATGCAGGAATACGGCTGAGGGCACGACGTCCTCAGTCGGCGGGCGCGGTGCGAAGGGGGCCTGTGGCTCAGCCTGCAGGTACCCGCGGGAACGCGGTGCAAGGCGTGGGGTGGGAGAAAACGGCCCAGGGACGCCCGCCCGCCACCACCGCCAGGAGATCTGCGCAGAGCCCCGCCCCGCGCCCGCCGCGGCTCGGCCATTTCACACGCTGATTGGCTGTGGTGAGGGCCAATCAGCGCCCAGCCGCCCCGCCCGCCCGGGGGCCCAGAGCCGCGCAGCTGTGCCCGAGGGCGGAGCCTCGCCCGCCAGTGCGGACCACGCGGCCCTGGACGGGGACCGGTCGCCCGGGAGGACCCGAGACTGGCGGGGGCGGGAGACCCAAGGGTGGCCGCGCTGCAGATTCCCCACCCCGGGTGAAAGGGAGCTCGGAGGAGGGAGGAGAAGGAATGCAGGAAGCGGAGGTGACCCGGAAAAGGGAAAGTGCCAGGGCCGAGGGGGTTTGCGCCAGCTAAAAAGGCCACAGGGCGGGGGAAAGGGGAGGGAGAGGAGGCAGCCTTGGAGGTACGGAATCTTTGACATCACAAAAAGGAAACAAAATGAAAAAGAAATGGAAAGAGGCTTTTTCTGTTTTTCTTCTTTTCTTTTAAAGGGGGAGGGCATAACAAAGAATGACAAAAACAAAAAACTGAACCCAAAAGGCATGGCTGGGGTCTGTGTCTTTGTCACCTGCAGTTTCAAAACTAAAAGACAAATTTGATGCCGGGTAAAGGTGGCGGGGCTGCCATGACCGAGTGTGGGAGGCTCTTTTTGCCCTGCTGCTTGGGCTCTCAATTTACTCTCTGCAGAGAGTGGGCCACAAGTACTGCGAAATTCTGAAAAGGAGCAAAAGAAAAAAAAAGGACAATGTCAGGAACCTGAAATAAGAGGTGGAAACAAAGAGATAGCAGGGGATAGTACGAGAAAACGAGCAGGTCAGAACTAAGAGGCGATGCAAGAGAAAGGGCAGGCAGAAAAGGTTGCTGGACTAGGTAAAGCAGAAAGGCTTCCAACAAGTCGAGCTCCTGAGCTCAGTGCTTCACAAGTGTTCTCCTCTAACAGACAATGAAAAATTTTAAACAACCCTAGATGTTTCAACAGAGCACACCCCTCATCATACCTCTATTCCTTTCACCGTGTCTCAGGTTTTACCTGAGAAATGAGGAAAAGAAGCAAAGACAGCAATTGCTGAGGCAGTGAGGAAAATAATGTTTTCAAACATATACTCATTCGGAGCAGAAGCTGTTTGTCACTCACAGGTCTGACTTCTGTCTGTTTCACATAACTATGGAATAACATCTTTGGACTCAACAGGGCACAGGCAAGCAAGCAGAATTGGGGATGTAAATGTGCCAGATAGCATTTGGTGCCTCACTTTAAACACAGACACAAACATCTCAAATATGCATTGTAGAATTTTCCTGGCATGGTGCAAAGCATGGTTTATTGCTACTCCAAAATTATTAGAAATAGGATTACATGATTATTCCAGAATATTTTATTTTCCCAAAGAAGACTAAGGATCGAAGGTTGTAGGGTTTTTTGTTTTGTTTTTTAATGCATCCAAGACATAAGGAGAATTTTATTTTAAAGCCCTTTTAAAAAATGAAAATTCTAGTTGGTCATCAATTTTCTTCAGAGCAAACATCATTTATTCTACTCTATAATAAGAAACCTAAACAAATTAAGATAACAAAAACTTATTCTCTTCATCTCCTTTAAAACTAAAATTTTAGTTCTGCTGGACTTGTTTTCTTCAAACTCTCATTATTTTACCAATGAGGCATTTTATAATACAAATGCTTAAAGTGTTGAGGGATTCTGACTCCCAAAAACATCATTTGATATAACAAGATGTGTACTGTTGATGTTGATATACACAATTAAATCTTCCAGTGAATGATGAAAATAAATGTTGAAATAAATACTGATCAAATAAATGCTTTTCAGAACATATCACCTAAAATCTTCATTTGAATGATCACATACCTTTTACTTGTTCTACAAAAGAGAGAATGATATGGATCAAATATTGGAAACAGAATCAAGAAGACTATGAACACATGATAAATACCTATCAATAGGAAACCAGGGCATAAATTAATTTCTTATGAATGAACACACTTTAAGAAAATCAATGCTTTTCAAAGCTCATTCTGTGAAGCATATACAAAATTCACAAGATAATCAGTTTGTCAGAATAAAGTGTTTCCAAATGCTGGAAACTTCTGCATTGCCAACTCATCACATTATTTGCAAACTGTACTCCTCTTCTACCCACAATTATGACCACCAGAAAACAGGATCAACAGAACGAAGGGCAGGCTCATTTCCTATTACAAATGTTTTTCATTTTCAGTACGGCATTAGCCTCAGAAGACCTAAAGCCAACTTTCAGCATTTACTGGGCTGCCTACTCTTCAACTTAAAGGCACACAACAAATATCCTAAAAGTGAAGGCTATAGAGTTTAGCCACTCTATTCAATGCAAAACAAAACAAAACATATTAAGGCATGTTCCTGACTTAATATGTCTTCTTCTCAACAAAAAAAGTAATTTTACAGATGTATAGTAGCCCCCAAATGATATCTGTAATATCTCAGTGCAAGAAGAGATAACTGTAAGGCAGACATACTGAGATGAACTCCCATAACTCTTAACTAATAATGGGTCCCAGACACAGAGTTTCCTGTATATCCTGTGTAAGAGAGTCCAGGTGTGTGAATAGTATTTCACAAATCTTGGTACAGGAACAAAAGGACAATGTCTCCCATAATTACTTCCTTGAGAGATCGTAAAATAGATAAGTACTTCTCTCTAAATATGTATTGCTAAAAAGCTCTTACTCCTGAATCTTTTTAGGGCAGCATGAATAGAAATCAATGTTTCCCGGTGCTGTTTACGTTGCCTTGGTATTATGAAATCACAGAACAAAAGTACAGAGAACAACTTGATAAGATCGCCCTTAAGGGCTCCCAGAAACGATCTTAAAGGAAGGGTTTAGGCCCTGTGTTAAGAAATAATTTTGTAAAACTGTCCCTTCCAGGGGCTGACCTAAATATATAGTGAAAAGACAACTTCACCAAATAGATCAAGGTTCTTATGTAGGAACTTTACCAACCTCAGGACTGGCACAGGATATATGTTTTAAAAATACAGTAACTACTTCACTTGGAAATTCTCAAATGAAAAAGCCCTCCTGTGGCTGATTCTACATGTTCATTTGACTCTCTGCCAGATGTCATTGTGGGGTGAGCATCTTGTGTGCCCTGAGAATGTAAGTGCATTCTCCCTGAGGAAGCAATGGGAAAGAACAGGAAGGGGCAGAGGCGAAGAACAGAATTCAAGCACAAGGTTAAAAGCAGTTTTGTCTTCTCACTTTGTCACCATGAAACGCACCTGCTGTGATGTCCAGTTGAGCTACTGACGTTCCTCTGGCTGCTTCTGGAAACTGATGCTGGCATAGGTGCTTAAATCCTCACTGGAGCGGGGGGTGGAGCTGTTCTCACCGCTGCCCAGGGATTGATGAGGGGGTGGGGATGGGGGTGGGGGTGGCTGTGGTTGAGGGGTGCGCTCCTGAGGGCATTGTTTGAAGTCCTTGACCAAATCCAGGTCTATGTAGTTAAGACCATTCTCCAAATCCCCAGCAGCCCCGCACAGTTGGGCTGGCTCCTTGGGGGCTCCCCCAAGCTCCCCAGGCCTCAGCCACACATTCTCAAAGGAAGCAGAGCTGTGGCGTTTCACATCCTTGCTGCTGCTGCTACCGCCACTGGCCCCTCCTGCTGCCCCCGCTCCAAAGGGCACCATGTTGCCCACCCGGGTGGCACTGGGTGTTGAGGAGAAGGTCTCGGAGCTATGCCTCCTCCGGCACCCTTGTGCGTCTGCACGGATCACTTTGGCACTCTGGTTGCGGTTAGGACTGAGGTTCACCCGGGTGAAGGCGCTCATGCCCCCAGGTCCTTGCGGTTCCCCCAGCAGGGATGAGCGGGCAGCCAGCTCTGCTGCCCCTTGAGGCCCAGCAGGGGAAGCAGAGGCTGCTGAGGCTGAGGAGGCAGCAGCCATGGTGGCCCTGGGCAGGCTAACCTCCTCTGCAGCAATGCCTGTCCGCATGTCAGCATAGCTCACAGGGGCAACTGGTGAGGTGTCCACGTAGCTCTGACGGGGACAACCCATCTGCATGGTCATATATTCACCCCGGCTGCTGGGCACTGCCAGGGTAGGCCTGCAAATGCTAGCAGCCCCAGGAGGTGCGGGGCCCACTCTGCCCACCTCGACCCCAATGCTCTCCTGCCAGGCTGCCCTCCGGCCTGGCCTCAAGTCCATCTTCATGTACTCCTCAGTGCCAGTCTCTTCCTCTCTGGGAGCTGGCTGGAGTTGGGATGGACACCTGACAGAAGGTGAGCTGTGGGAAGCCACAGTGCCAGACAAGTAGCCAGGCTGATCACTCCCAAATTCAATATTCACATATTCCCCTGGGCTCTTGGGCTCCAGAGGGTGCAGCGGGGGCTGCTGCTGCTGCTGCTGCTCTCCGGCCCGAGGTAAGGTGCTGGCCTTGGGATCCCCCAGGGACAGCCTCGTGGGCCGGGCCAGGCGACTATTGGTCTGAGCAGCTGAGTCCACCTTTCGAGGCAGATGGGGCTGCAGAACCTGATGGTGGGAATGTGGAAGGCTGGGCTCCATCCTAGCCCCACAGTATCCCCCACCCAGGCTATCGCTGCTGGTGGAGGAGGAAGAATCTTCCACTGTTGCAGCATAGAGAAGGCGACCAGAGCTAGTGGAAAGGCGAAGGTGCTGATGCCGGGCACCCTCCTCCAGCTCCCCAGGGAGCTGGGTGTGCTTAAAGGATCTTGGCAATGAGTAGTAGGAGAGGACTGGCTTGTGCTGGGGGTCCTCAGGGCCGTAGTAGCAGTTGGAGGGGCTGTTAGTGTTGGAGTCCCCCACTGGTGACATGTTCATGTAGTCACCTGTGCAAGGCAAGAGCTTGCCACTGCTGCTCTCCACTGGGGGTTTGGGGTGAGGCAAGACATGAGCGTGGTGGCCCCCTACCCCGTTTGTCCACAGCTTTCCATAGCTGCTCCCAGAAGGGACAGCCCTGCTGCTGCTGCTGCTGCTGCTGCTGCCAGGGCCACCTCCAATGTCAGGGGAGTAGCTGCTGCTGGGGGACATCATCATGTAGCCATTGGGGTCCACTCTCTGGGGATGGCGTCTGATGGGGTTGATGATCTGCTGCGGGGCAGACACGCTCTTGGGGCTCATGGGCATATAGTCTCCACTGCCCTTTCGGCTGCTGGGCACTGGGGCCACCCCTGGGGACATGGGCATGTAGCCATCATCACTGTGGAGGGTAGAGCTTTCTGGGCGATGGTGGCCCCCCCGACGCTCCAAGAGGTGCATTTCCAGACCCTCCTCAGGGTAGGAATGGGTGGGCACGAAGGCGGAGTGCCTGTGTCCCGGCAGTCGGCCTCCACTGCCACCTCCTGGTGGGTAGACAGGCATCATCTCTGTATACTCCTCAATGGAAGCCGCTGAGGACTGAGACGGGGTCTTCTGGTGGGAAATGGAAGGGGATGTGCCTGCTGAGTGAGTTCTCTTTCGGAACCGATTATCCAGATCGGCAGCACTGGCTGCTTCATCCCCAGCCAAGGCTGGACTCGTGCCCAAGCCTGTTCCTGGGGTGTAGCGGTGGCCATTGCCACCCCGAGACAAGATGTAGTGACCGTTGGGGGCGGTCAGGGTGGAGGGCCCCTTGCCGCCCATGCAGATATAGTTGCTTAGCTCCTCCTCACCGCGGGCCGGTGGGGTGTGACCCACGGAATCCGGAGTGACACTGCGGAAGGAACTCCGGAAATCGCAGGGACTGGAGCCATACTCATCCGAGGAGACGAAGCCGCCATCGCTGGGAGAACCAGACACCGACGCACTAGACCGCCGTGGGAAGAGACAATCTGAGGTGGAGCCATGGCCACTGGTGCTGCTGGATGACAGACTGACCGGGCTGGTGGCCGAAGGCGAGCAGCGGGAAGCTGGCATGGGGATGGAGCGGCTGTGGTTGAGCGGGGGGTGCAGCCGCGCGCTGCCCCGATGCCGGTGGGCGTGGGTTCTGTTGGTGCTGGGACTCACAGGGCTGCCGTCCACCGAGGCCGGGCGGGACATGGTGCCTTCACCGTCGCTGGAGGCGCGGACACGGAAGGAGCCTGGCTTCCCGCCCACCATGCTGGCCGGGGAGGTGGCGGTGATGCTCTCGGTGCGTGATCGGCGGGTCAGCCCCACCTGGCTGGGCGGGAGGTTGTTGAGATGGTGCCGGCGCAGGGGGACGCTGATGGGGTTGGAGCAGTTGGACGAGGACTGGCTCTTGCTGCGAGGGCGGAACTCATCGCTCATGGCCCTCATGGCCTCCAGGATGGTCTCGTGCATGTTCTGTGCCACCACGGAGTCATCCACCTGCATCCAGAACTCCCCGGGCCCCGTCACGGCAGAACGACCCACCTCGATGAAGAAGAAGTTCTCCGAGTGGCCGCAGCGCCTGATGTTCATCAGCTGCAGCACCACAGCCGCTACCTCCGAGTTCAGCTTCACGAAGCTGATGGTCTTGCTTGTCAGGCAGAGGCGGTAGATACCAATCAGGTTCTTTGTCTGACCCAAGCCCTTGGGCTTCAGGATCACCTGCCAGACCTCTTTGAACGTGGGTCCTGGGGGCCCGTCCCCGTAGCTCAGGTCCTCCCCAGCCTCACCAACTCCCGAGCTGCCGCTGCAGCTGCTCCCGCCGCCTCCCGCCCCGAGGGCCGCAGCTCCATCGTGGTGGCCCTTGGCGCGGTTGTGCAGCTGCAGGAGAGCCTGGTACCAGCTGTCTTGTTCGGCCTCGCTGTCCGCCGCGATGGCAAAGTGCTCGTCCCGGGTATAGAGAGCCACCAGGTGCTTGTTCTTGGAGTCAGCACGCTTGTTGATGTTGAAGCAGCTCTCAAGGGGGATCGAGCGTTTGGGGGCGCTCGACTTGTGCCGCCACTTCTTCTCGTTCTCGTAGTACTCGAGGCGCGCCGGGCCCCCAGCCTCGCTGGCCGCGCGCAGTACGAAGAAGCGTTTGTGCATGCTCTTGGGTTTGCGCAGGTAGCCCACCTTGCGCACGTCCGAGAAGCCCTCGCTCTCCAGAGGGCTCGCCATGCTGCCGCTGCCACCACCGCCGCTGAGCAGAGGGAGGCGCCGAAAAACAACCAGGTGGGGGGCAAAGGCTCCTCGCCGCAGCCCCACACATGCAAATAGGGCTGGAGGCAGCAGAAACCCCGGACTCCGAAATCCACACCGTCCCCCGCACCGGGGAGGGGCAGCTGGAGGAGGACGCAGCTGCTGCGCCAAAGAGAGAGCCGGACCGGAGTTTTACGGGCGCTTCACGCCCGGGGGAGAGGCAGTGAGTCCAGGGTGAGGGCAGCCCTGATCCTTTGAGAGCCAAGTCTCTTCTCAGCCACTGCCGATGCCGGGAAGGAGCGAAGATGCATCTCTCGCCGCTCCGGCTGGAGTCCGGCTCAGGGAGGCGGTGGTCGGGGGTCCCCGCGGTGCCCCTCTAGGCGTGCGCGCGCGCGCGCCTTCCCTCCTGAGTTCCCCTCTGGAGTAGAGATTCCCGAGGCAAATTAAATATCCTTGGGTAGGGGGAGGCGGGTTGCCAAGTCCCAACGTTGGGTTCTCCCTCCTCCTTCTTCTCCTCCTCCTCCTCCGCCTCCTCCCACCCCGCAACCGTCCCAGCCGCCACCAGCAGTCCAAATACCAGCTCAATCGCAGAGACCGCGGCGCTGCGGCTGTTGCTGCTGCTGCTGCCGCTGCCCGCGGGCGCGTCCTCTGCAGCCCCCATTCGGGCCCATCTCGGCGGGCAGAGAAAGTGGCTTTTCCATTCGAAACGCTACTGGGCAGCCAGGGTAGCTGAGGACCAGCCGGAGGGACAGGCTCATCCCTGCCCCTCGCTCCAGTCGGCAGGGGAGAAGGGCAGGGGACAAGGGCGGCAGGCGAAGGGGGAGGTTTGGGAAGGGTTCGGGGAAGACGCCTGTTCCCTGGGAGGCGCTGCCGCTGCAGTTACTTCTCCCCTCCTCCCTCCTCCTCCTCCTCCTCGGAGAGTTGCCGAGAGCCCCAACCAAAACAAGCGGCGGCGTCTGGCTCTGCGCGCCGGCCCCCTCCGACCGCGCCGCCGTCTCACTCGGAGGAGAAAAACACGTGACAGAGCCTCCGCGCTCGGCAGCCGGGCTGCCGCTGCCGCCGCCGGGAGGCTCCAGCCTGGGTCTCTACATTCCCGGCCGAGCCCGCCCCGCGCCCGCCCCTCTCCGCCCCCCGGCCTTGCCGCAGCGGCACCCGCGCCGAGCCCCCGCGCAGCGCTAGGACAGCGCCCCTGCGCGGCCGCCAGCCTGGGCGCAGCGCCTCCCACCCGGTGCGCCACCCAGGGCGCCCCGGGCCCTCAGGAATCCCCGCGGCGGGCGCGGGAGGGGGTGTTTGGGTGGCTACCCGAAAGCACGAGGGGAGTCTGGGAAAACGGGAGGGGGCGAGCTCGGGAAGACGCAGGAGTGAGGGTGGGGGCGACGGGGGGGCACTGCGGCTGTGAAGCCCCTAGTGGGAGGCCCGGGGGAGGCGGGGGCGCGGGAGCTGGGTTGCCTCTTACCTAGCAGGTAAGATCGACCCGCGGGAGGGAGGTTTCCATTCAAGGCTGTTTCTCCCAGGAACTATACAAGCTAGATTTCGGCTTCGGGGCGATAGGCCATGGTGAGGGGATCTGTATTTTTGTAAGGTTTTCCAAAGGACTTCTGAGCCAGCCTTCCGCCTTGGAATCCCCGGATTTTCTGCCGTGAGGTACCTGGAAGGAACAGAGGGACGCCCAAGGGCAGTGACTGGGGGCAATTATGGTCACTGCCAAAGGAGAACAGGGATTCCCCAGGAAGCTGCTGATCAATTAGGGAGAAAATGTAAATATCACCTTTTCTCCTGCTCCCCTGGCCCATTCGATTGAGGGGGGTTCACACCTAAGCCTGAGGGCATGGGGGAGGGGAAATGAAAGGTCCCTTATATTACGAAGTCTCTCCGTGACTTTAAAAAACTGTTAGGGACTTACAGAGGATTCATAAGGCCAAAACCCTACTGTGCAAATATTGGCTGAAATGTTTGTTTCACACACAGCTTCCACACCCATTGAACCACCCTATAAATGTTTAACCTTGACCACAAGGATAATCGGGAGAAAACAAGGATGGTGCCAGCTCAACAGTACAGGAAAATGGGTACTTCATGAGAGGACCAGGTCCGCAGCCTGGGTCTACTTGAACCTCCTCTTTCAGGGTTACCTTGCGGTACCAGTCTCCCCACAAGCAAACGCTCTCAAGTTTTTTGTTGTTTTAAGCTGACCTATAAACAAACAGTTTGTCCCTGCTTGCTCCCCTGGCACTAAGGATCCACAGAGATGTCACTCGGTTTAATGTTGTCTCATTTTGATACCTGACTCGTTTGGGGCTGCCGCCCCTTTTCCACGCCGGGACCCTGCTCAGCCTCCGGCTCCCAGGCACTGCAGGATGCTGGTGGGGCAAGCAGCAGTCCAGGCGCTGGGCATGCTCAGTGACCGGGACCCGCCGGGCCGCAGGGGAGCGCGCCTCCGCCCAATGCGGGCCGAGGGGCGGGGCGAGTTTCCCGGGGTGGCCTGCTGATTGGCGGGATGGCCTGTTTTTCAAGCCTAGCGCCGCAGAGGGAAGGTAGGGAGAGGGGGTGAGGGTACCAAGGTAGGTTACAAAGCGTAGTAAAAAAAGAAAAAGAAGAAGATGATGATGATGAAAGAGAAAAAGAACCATAGGCTCCATTCAGAGGAGTGCGATAAGTGAATTAAGGGGATCCGGCATCTGCAGAGGGGCTCCTCCCCACCCAAGCCTGGGAGCCTCTCGTTTCTCCTCTCCCCTTCCTGTTCGCGGTGGTCATGCAGCCTCATCTAAACCTGGTTAATCTATAATTTGAGTACACATGTTGAATTGAAAGCCCTCCCTTCTTTTTCTCTGACAGCTTAGTGATGTGGGCACACGTGCCCACTACAGCAAGGCTATTAATAGCAGATATTAGGAAATGGAAGCGAGGCGGCACAGTGACGGAAATTCTGCGGGTATAGAGTGCCTTATGGGGGGCGGGGCAGGGAGGTGCGGAATAGAGATGCCTGAAGTTGGTGGAAAAGTGTAACTGTGTACCTGGTTTTACCCTAGACAAGAAAAAAGCGAAATAATAAAAGGGTTGTTTACTAGTAACAGTGTAATCCGGATAAGGCCAAAGGGCTTTTTACATTTTTGACGCTTAGCTCTGGGATGGGAGTAGTGGAGTATTTCACATTTTGTATGACTACAAATCAAATCCATAGACATTTACTTTTCAAATGGCCCCGTCCCTACCTCCGTCCCTCCGGCCCCCCAGAAAAGCTAAATAAAGGTACTGTACCTCTATCTATGGGAGAAAAATACTCCTTTCTGGAAGGAGGGAATGGTTGGAAAATTTATTTACACGTATTTTACAATAATCTTCATAGAAAGGATTTTGATCATAAAAACCTAATTATGGTAAAACGTTTTAAACATATAGCTCTCAGTGTTAAAGCATTTAATCACAATTTCAATTGCTAAATATTCGACAAAAATTATGAAATAAACCGCATGGTGTGCTGAAAAATTATGTTCAGACCACTGGGTTTCCTATGGAAGATAATCACTGATCATAGGATATTAGTGTCAATTTTTCTACTTGCTGATGTTTTACTACCAATTTAAAGGTGGCTAATATTTGTTATAATTATACTACAGTACCTTCAATTGTTCGCTGCATTTTTTACTAATGAGCTGAGATAACTGGAAATGCATTTACATTTGGTTCATGCAATATGTAAAATAGAAAGAGACGCGTTTGTGGGATCTCACTGAAGTAATGCTGAGCAGAAATGAGTATTATTCTGTCAGCCAAGCTAAATTAGTCTTTTGGTGTATTATAATGACTGTATGAAAAATTTACTCCTCACTGAAAATTCACAGAACAGCAAAACAACCTATAACGGAAATATGTTGCTCAATGCTGCCATCTATAGGAGAGTTAGAGCCGATTTGTGTAATACGCTAAGGTGCATTTTAAAAGAGCTAAAATAGTGATTGATCACAACATTGCAACGGCTATGTTGATGTCACTAATACAGTTCTCATTCAAGGAGTTAAGAGTTTACATGCTTGGGGAAATACGTCTACAACTAGCTTTAAAATTGAATTATTGGTCTATGTGTGATATATATCCGTAAAGTGCTTGAGCTGGGTGGATGTAAAACTAAACATTTGAAAATGATAAAGCACATCATGTCTTGTGTCAAAACAAATGTTAGGAGCTATTTAAATACTGGCATCTCTTAGAATTACTTTTGGCGATTTAGAACAGTGCTTGAAGGACAATTGAAATGTGGATTTTCTCACTTTAATGTCTTTTTTATTTTAAGATGGCTCAATAGTAATAGGCATTTGAATGCCTACTCTGGAAGGCAATATGAAATATATAAAAAGGAGACAGCTTCTTACAGTTTTGATGTAGTAATAAGAGAGTACAAAATAACAATAATTAATGACTAAAATGTGTATGTGTGTGTGTGTGTGAGAGAGAGACAGACACAGAGAGAGGGAGAGATATCAAATAACAAATAAGTGGTATTTACTTCCATGATGGATGAAATAACTAAATAAATCTTTACAGAAGAGAGGAGCTTTAAGCTTGAACTTAAAGTTGGCTATAACTCAGATAAGTGATTGGCATTTTTTTTCCCATACAAGTTTTTTGGAACACCTACTTGTGTTAGGCATTACGCTGGACACTGAGAATTTATATATCAAAGACATGCTGCCCGCAGGAAGCTCACATTGAAAATAGCAGACAAATGAACACAATTACAGAGCACTGTGATCTCATTTGTGGAAAAAATAGGCACAGGGCAAATGAGATCACATAACAACCAATTGCCTTCTGACGTAAACATTATCATTTACAGACAGCACAATTTGGGAGTCTGAAAGTTGCCTCTTCCCTTAAAAACATTGTTTTCTCATGTAATTAAAATCTTTCATCTATTCTATTTTAAAAATATAAAATAGGCTAATTAAAAGTGAGCTGGAAAGTAACACTTGGCTTGCAAATCTGCAAAATCAGGGCTTCTCAAAGCCGAGGATCTTGTTAAAATTCAGCTTCTTATTAAATGCAGAAGGTCAAGGGCAGGCTCAGATACTGCATTTTTAACACACACTAGGTGATGCTGATTCTGCTGGGTAAGTAGCAGAGTTCTAATGACTGATGATTAATTAAAAGGCACAATAATTTTGTGCTGTGATGTGAAAGGGCACTTATATTTTAGTATTATATACATACAAAGAGAACAATAGCAAGAAAAATTCTACTTAGGCATCATTGTGTTTGGGCTTCTCTCTTTTCAATCATAGGCATCAAATCTTTTTGATAAGCATGAAGAGTTATTCTCAAACAGTTGTGTTAGTGTTTTCCAAGGTGTGATTAAAAATGGAGATTTCATACCTCATCCCAGTCCTACTGAACCAAAATCTCTTAGGGAAGGATGGGCACCCCCACATCTACAGTTTAAGCAGCATTACAATAGATTATTATTTACATTAATATTTAAGAATCATTGGCTTAAACACAAAGAAAAAATGTAATTATATACTTCTGAAATTGGCAAATGCACAGCCTTAACCAGTCAACAAAGATCTTCACCTGTGGGCTGTTTACTACAGCTGAGTAGTAAGCCAGCTGTGACCCAAACCTGCATGAGTCTACCAATATGATTTGATTTTCCTTTGAAGAAAATCAATTACTGGCAATCAGCTAGTGAGAATCCAGTTCTGCTCTCATCTTGATTTCATCCCTCATCTATTCTAGAGAACTGAGGGAAAATAAAGGCACCAAGAAGTAACATGGGATTTCAGAAAGACAATAATGCCCTCAACAGATGATTTCAAAACATTTGCTGTTTTGGGAGTAAATAAGGCATGAAATAAACAGATGAATGAGGTTGGAGGAAATGCAGGAGGTGAAAACTCCATGCCATTGTTTAATTCTTTCACTTCAGAAATTCTGCCAATTGATTGTTGATTTTGGGGGGTTAGATCCACAACTGATATTTGTCTAAAAGACTGGGTCCTGCTCCAGGCATGGTAACTCATGCTTCTAATCCCAGCAATTTGGGAGGCAGAGGCAGAAAGATCCTTGAGCCCAGGAACTCAAGGTTGCAGTGAGCTATGATCGTGCCACTGCACTCTAGTCTGGGTGACCGAGTGAGACTTTGCTTCTAAAAATAAACAAAGACAGACTAGCTTTTTCTTTTTTAATTTTCTTGATTTCCTTAACTATTATATCCTTATTTTCTTTTAGTCTTGTTTGATAACAATCGGGGGTCTGCCAGTCAATTTGCTATCTTAGACAATGCCACTAACTCATTTGGTCGTTTAATTGAAAGAAAGTATCCTGAATTCTTTTTCTTTTTTCTTTGAGACAGAGTCTCTCTACGTCCTGCCAGCTGGAGTGAAGTGGCGTGATCTCAGCTCAATGCAACCTCCACCTCGCAGGTTCAGGCAATTCTTCTGCCTCAGCCTCCCTAGTAGCTGGGATTACAGGCACCCACAACCACACCCAGCTAATTTTTGTATTTTTAGAGACGGGGTTTCACCGTGTTGGCCAGGCTGGTCTTAAACTCCTGACCTCAGGTGATCCACTTGCCTCAGCCTCTTAAAGTGCTGGTATTACAGGCATGAGTCACCATGCCCAGAAGCTGTTTCTTATATTTGAGGAGTCAAG